ATAAAAAAATAAAAAATAAATTTATTTAATTAATGATGTTTTGATATAGTTTATTTTGTGTTGTAAAAGTTGTAAAAGTTAATTTATAATAAAATACTTACATCCTAAGAATAAAAAATAAATCTATTTGATCAGATAATGCCTTAATAAATTTTATTTTGTAAAATATTTATTTACCTTTATAGAATTTAGCTAAATATTATTTTGCAAAATATTAAATTATGATGTAAATTCCTTTACTACATATTTTTAAAATAGTTATTTTCTGTGTAAGAAAAAAATACCTTCATTCATTTTTTTCTATTGGGAATATAAATGAATTTTTTGTCTACTGTTCTTTAGCAGTATAAATCACGGGAAACTAATAGTGAAAATCGGAAGCGATCATCACCGACTATATTTAAACGAAGGAATCCAAATTACTCGATTTTGACCAGAGATAACTTGAAGGAAATCCTACATGGAAGGTTCGAATAATGTTTAATGAATACATTTAATTAGGATAATTTAGGATTTCGAAAAAATCGAAGAACTAGGTGATAGGACCTTTAAATAACGTAATCTTAATAATATCTTAATAATAAAATACGAACATAAATATTTTTTTTAACTCTTGCCAGTGGAAGAATCCATTCGCTTGTCAACATTACTAACATACCAGGGGAACACCTTTGATAAGTATAGTTATGTATATATTTCTTTTAATTTTATTTCTTTATTTTTATTTAGCTTAGGCTAACGCCTAAGAGGAGTAAACCCTAGCTAGATGCGGTCAGTCCAGACACTGAACCTAAAACATAAACAAACAAAGCCCAAACCTATTGCGTCTAAGTAACAGATAAGCCTAAAGAACCAAGGCGGATATTTAGGAAGGTAAATATCTTTGGGACGTGCTGGCTCAGGCAGATAACAAAGAACTGCTGAGAAAGTGTTACCGAACGGGGAAGTAAAACTTGCCCCTACAATGGATTAATAGACCCAACGCTATTAATATCATACACAGAAGAAAAGCATTTGCAATTGAAAATTAAACTATCAAGACATTCAGCCACAGCTGTATAAACTAAATAAAATACCAATTTAAGTAAATCTAGAGATTTGTGTGAGACGCGAATTTCGATCTCACAATGTGGTAATTTGATTTTCTATATAGATTCCAGAAGGTTTTAAAAAATGATTAACATTAAAGAACTAAAAGATAAATAGAGAGATGCAAAATGTAATAGTGAGTATTTATAAAAAAAAACATATACTAATAATAAAGTTGATGAAGAAGATGTGTTGTAGTAGAAAGCAAAAGAATCAACACCTTTAACAACAATTAGAAGACTTTCAATGAGATGTCGGTATATATACATCTTTATAGAAATGTTAGCAGTATGTAAGGCTCCAGTTGATTCAATTTATTTAATTCAATTCAAACCGGATTCCTAAATTTTTTAATGTTATTAATTTATATTTTTGATTCGAATAATTTACACAGTGAATCTCAATTTAATGCGCTAGTACCTCGATTTAATAATGGATTGATTGAGGTTTAATAATGATAAACTAAAACTATAATAATAATAATAAAATTCTTCTCAATGTAACGGATTTCTTGATACAGTCAAACCTTGTCATAGAGAAAACAGGACACAAAAAAAAATCCGTTACGAGAAGAATTTAATTACAGTCCACTGTGACAAAGTTTGACTGTACACTTGAACCCACTTTTAATTGATAAGACTGACCGGTTAAAGTATTTTAAAACAATATAATGGTTTGACGGGTTGTTGAATGGTAAAATAGTTTTTTTTAGCGGAGCAAATATTTTTTTTAGGGTTAATTATCATTCTACTGACCAGTTTTCACATTAAAAATACTCGTGTTTAACATAAGACAAGGTTTGAAAAAAGGCCCAAAAAACCAAATCGGCTGATATGAATGTGTTGTCGTGGTATTATTAAAAAAACTTGATGAAGAAAATGAAAAAGGTCAATAATGTAAATTAAAAAAATTATATATATTATATCTATTATTTATTTAAATTATTAAATAAATAAATTTGTTTTTATAACGACTTGAATTTTTAATCAAAATTTTTATTATATTTATGTATAATATAAAAAATTAAACTCTAATATATATATATATTTATTTAACATGCCGTAGTTAAGAAAATAAATTAACATATTGATAAATAGATTATATAAAGTCCGTCATTATCATGTTTTTTTTTTTTATGAATTTAAATCATGACGACTTTTTACAATTTAATCTACTTCTTCCATAGAAGTTTCAACAGAACCTTCATCAATAGGATTAATTATTTCTTCAGCTTCCACAGCCTCTGTATCATCACCAATATCAAGACCAAGTTTAATCATTTTGAATATTCTACCGGCAAATGATGATGGTTCATCCAAACTAAACCCTGATTGTAAAAGTGAAGTTTCAAACAACAGCCATGTAAGATCTTTAACTGTCTTGTCATTCTTGTCAGTTTCTACTTTTGCCTTGAGTGATTTAACAATTGGATGGTTTGGATTGATTTCCATAATTTTCTTTGATGCCATGTAAGATGACATGCTTGAATCACGAAGAGCTTGTGCTTTCATAATACGCTCAAAGTTAGCAGACCAACCATACTGTCCAGTCACAAGCACACAAGGTGATTCTGAAATACGATTTGACACAAGCACCTATTTTATTTATATAAAATAGTTTTTATTAATATTAAAAAAATTTTTATTAATATTAAAAAAATTTTCCATGTTTATTAATAAACAAATAATAAATAAATTATTGTTACCTTTTCAACTTTGTCACCAAGTATATCTTTAATTAATTTACATAACTCCTCATATTGTTTAACTACTTCTTCATGTTTTTTCTTTTCATCTTCATCTTCATCAAGCTCTAATCCTTCTTTTGTGATGCAAATAAGTTTTTTATCATTATACTCTTTAAGTTGTGAGACAGTATATTCATCAATTGGGTCAGTCATAAGCAACACTTCATATCCCCTCTTCTTGAGAACTTCAACAAATGGTGAATTTTCTACAGCTTGGCGATTTTCACCAGTAATATAATATATTGATTTTTGTTTTTCAGGCATTCTTGTAATGTAATCCTTTAATGATGTCATTTCTTCACCAGATTTTGTAGAATAGTAACGAAGGAATTCTGCTAATTTAGCACGGTTTTGTGAATCCTCATGAACACCAAGTTTAAGGTTTTTGGCAAATGCTTCATAAAATTTGGCAAAGTTTTCCTTATCTTCAGCAATTTCATTAAACAATTCAATACACTTTTTGACAATATTTTTTTTAATAACCTTTAGAATTTTATTCTGTTGAAGTGTTTCACGGGAAATGTTAAGAGGCAAATCTTCAGAATCCACAATACCCTTTACAAAACTAAGATATTCTGGTATTAAGTCTTCACAGTCATCCATAATGAATACATGTCTAACGTAAAGTTTAATATTGTTGCGTTTCTTTTTGGTTTCAAACAAATCAAAAGGTGCACGTCTTGGTACAAAAAGAATTGCACGGAATTCAAGCTGTCCTTCGACTGAAAAATGTTTAACAGCCAAATGGTCCTCCCAGTCATTGCTGAGTGATTTGTAGAAAGCAGCATATTCTTCATTGGTAATGTCTTCAGGATTGCGAG